GTTTCCTCGAGTGAATGTGGGCATTCCCTCCTCCTCCTCTTCCCCTGGAATTAAAGTTCCCATTCATGTCCCTAAAATCACACGTTTTCAACCCTTGACGGCCTCGACACCTCAACTTCCTAAAGGCCTGAGATATAAATGTCGATATTGCGGAAAAATTTATGTCAGGGAGAAAGCGAGAGATAAACACGAGAGCGACAAACACGGAGGATATGCCCCTCCCTAAGAGAGACACTATAAAAGGGAGTGACATGAGAGACTTCTCTTCATTGTTTTCAAAGAATGGCCAAGAAGAAAAAGGGATGTTGTACGCGATTAAGAGCGCATGCCCCTCTTTTAAGAGTGTTATCGGACCCTCACTATTCCTCGTCTTTAAAAACGGGGATTTTAAAACATTGTTCTGGAGATTGTATTCTGAAAATTTGTGAGATCGTCTACAACCTATTAAAAGGGGTGTTACCTCTCAATTCGGCTCAGAAACGAAAACTAGCTCCTAAGAAACACATCTTAAGGAGACTGGTCCGACCCCAATCCATACAGAAACGACGAGCTTTATTAGTACAACAAAAAGGAGGAGGTCTTTTACCCCTTTTAATCTCAGCAGCACCTTTACTGTTGGATGCCGGACATTCTGTCTATAAAGCCATTAAAAAGAAGAGGAACAACAAGATACAAAAATGAGTCGTAAAATGGTGTTAGTACCTGAAGTTCTGTTGAATGAACTCAAAGGTAAACTCCCTAAACCTCCGGAATGTCAATCTACTCTGAGTATAGGTCAAGAATTGGACCAGATTACCAGACGTGAAGATTTAACTCCAGAAGAAAAAGTGGCTTTATACGGTCAAGAACTTCATCGGTATAGGAATTATTTACAACAAGCGAGAGAGCCAACGACTACCAAAAAACCCCTGCACCCTTAGCCCCAGCAGCACCAGCAGCCCCAGCCCCCGCAGCAGCAGCAGCTCCAGCAGTAGCAGCACCACTAGCAGCCTCAGATCCCGAGATCGATCAACAAATCATTCAAAGTGTGAATAAACCCATGCAAAGGAAAGCTGAATTATTATTAAGTCATTTAAAGAAAACCAACGTCTTGACTTGGGATAAAGACGGAGAAATCAGTTATCGAGGTCAAAAAGTACCCGATTCTAACATTGTGGATTTAATGGCTGAAAACATGAGAACCAGATCCTTGAAAAATCGTCCGGTGCCTAAAGGATTAGATGAATTTGCTCAAGCTTTAAAAGAGACCCGTACTCCCATGGTTTACTTGCAAAATCGAGACCTTATAAAAGCCATGCAGAAACCAGGAAAAATCAGTACTCCTAAAGGGGCTTTGAGTGACGACGACGACGAAGAGAGCGGATTTCAGGATGCTTCCTCTTCTTTTTTGACCCCTATTAGTCGACCTGTAGAGGCAAGATCAAGGGTGTTAAAAAAATTCACACCTAAATATAGTCCCTATCGAGCCCAAAAGCAATTAAAAACCCAAGAAGAAGAAGCCAATAAGAAGAAGAAATTAGAACAAATCGAGGAAAATTGGCTTCATTTGCCTAAGACATGAAGAAGAAGAAGAAGAAGAAGAAGAAGAAGAAGGAAGTGGGGGACATTTTAACAGAGATTTATTACGATCCCAAGAGAGGGTATTTAGGCATACAGACTTTGTATCGTCAGGTCAAAAGTCTGGGGCATAAGATTTCTTTGAACACCATACGAGAATGGTTAAAAGAGCAAGATACCTATACCTTACATAAACCCATTCACCGAAAATTCCGGAGACAACAGACCAGAGTGACGGATATAGACGAACAATGGCAACTAGATTTAGCGGATGTGTCCAGTTTAAAGAAACATAATGACGGCTATACCTTTTTATTGTGTGCCATTGACGTCTTATCTAAATATGCATGGGTGGTGCCTTTAAAACAGAAAACGGGGAAAGAAATGATTCGAGGATTACAAGAGATTTTCCGACAAGACGGTCGACGTCCCGTCCGCATTCAATCGGATCAAGGCAAAGAATTTACCAATCGAGAATTCTTACAGGCGTTTAAATCCATTCATTTCTTTACCACTCGCAATACGGACACCAAAGCCAGTATCGTGGAACGATTTCAGAGAACCCTGAAAGCACGCATGTGGCGATATTTCACTCGGAATAAAACCAGACGGTATTTAGAGATCTTACCGGATTTAGTGTATGCTTACAATCATACCTATCATCGCAGTATCCAAAGAACCCCAGCTCAAGTGAAGCCCTCGAATGTGTTAAAAGTCTGGAAAACTTTATATGGGGAATCATCACCTAAACCAAAACCCCCCAAGTTTAAAACAGGAGATAAAGTGCCCATCAGTAAAGCTAAACGCACTTTTGAAAAAGGATATTTACCGAACTGGACCACGGAAATATTTACCACTGCTCAACGAGTCCCCGGTCGGTATCCTTACGTGTATCGAGTACAAGATTACAACCAAGAGGAATTAGAAGGGACTTTTTACGAGAAAGAATTACAACAGATCATTAAAAAAGACGACGTGTACGAAGTAGAGGAAATCTTGGGGTATAAAAAGCGACGAGTCGGGAAGAAAATCATTCAAGAAGTCAAAGTCCGGTGGAAAGGATATCCCCCTAGTTTCGATTCATGGATTCCCCAAACGGATCTCATCAAATAACACCTCATTGGAAATGTTGTGGAGAGAATATTCCTCGAGAAGAAATTGTGTATTTTGCACAATTATTCATTTGTATTTCCCTCATCATCACCAGTGTGGTCATGTTAGCTTTACACGATTCTAATCGAGAATATTGGATGGTCTGTGTGAGTTCTTCGGTCGGTTACATCATGCCTAGTCCTACCATGATACATCATACCCCTAGGGTCAAGAAGACCAATTCACCCAGTTAATCCCGGAATCTAAAAATAGATACACCCCTCTATATAAAAAGGAGACACCATAACCCCAAGAGGATCATTTCTGATCTGAGTGAGGGACAGAGCACACATCATGGATTTTTTAAGCTCAGAGTATCGTTGGAAAATAGTAGAACCTGAAGGGACTAGTCACAAAGGAGAATGGATGAAAAACAAAGAGACATGTATTCAAGATTTCTTTGATAAGAATCCAGGACAAACAGGTATCAATGAAATCTACCTGTATAAGAGATTCAAGTTACCGCACCGCCAAAGAAGCAAACAGATGCTCTTAATAGGACCCAGATCACCTAAATATGGAGAATTTAAATGGAAAGTCAATTACGTCTTGGCTCACCGAACACAGGGACCCGAGAAGACTTGGATTCATGGGAAATGGATGAAAAAAGCTGGAGATTGTATAAAAGACTATTTGGAAGAAGTGGTCATAAAAGGATACGATATCATGGACTGTGCTTGTGAAACAGACTATTTGTACATGAGGAGACCTTTTCCCATACAAAAAGAACTGAAGAGAAGTTTTGAATGTTTGTTATTATGATGTTCATGTTCTTGTTGTTGTTGTTATGAATAAAAAAAGAAAAAGAAAAAACCAAAAAATTCTAGTGTTGTTAGTTATTTTTCCCCTATATACATACAACTAAGCGCTCTATATACACACAACAGAGCGCTCTATATACACTAGCTTTGTCATGATGACGTCACAATCACGGATTTGAATCGCTGCCAAGTATTTACCTGTGTAGTCAGCATAAAAAAAAACGTAGGTCTATCGTATTGATGCACACGCCCCCCTAATTTTTTGCACACGGTCCTTACAGGTATAAAAAGGTAGGTCAAAGGTGCACACGGCTCACAGCAGGTATATAAAGCGGAGCTGGGAGTACCCTGCACTCATTATTTAGCCATCATGTCTTTTGTGTGGAGAATTATCTATTGGATTGATGTAGAAAAAACAATATGTTATCACTGCAATGAGAAGACGAAAGAGATACATAAATACGTCGGCTATAACAATGCGGGAGAAGTTGTTGCTTGGTACTGGGGATGTAGTAAATGTAGAGAACCTATGCCACACTGGATTGTAGAAGACCCCCCTTCCATGGAGACTTGTGGTTGTAGCTGGTGCCTGAAATATTTCATCTTGAAGAAAGGAATTGAGAACATACCGCCTCCCCGATGGGTGAAAATGACCAGGAACAGACCTTTGAAAGAATGTATGATGTGCTACCAGGAAAAGACTCGAGGAAAATGGAAATGCGGACAATGCCGGCAATATCCGTGTTGTGAAAAGTGTGTGAAGAAACTCTTTGAGACTTCCTACAAGAAATGCCCCTTATGCCGATATGAAGGACAATAAAATCATTTTTTGTATTTTTTGACTTGAATAAAAATTTGTGTTTTTTTTAATTCTTTGTTGTTTTGTTTAAAAATAAAAAAAATAATAAAAAAAAAATAGAGGAGTGGGGTTTTATCAAGAGGTATATCACAAACCCTCTCTCATTCTGAAAAAGGACACTGAACAAGTCAGACGTGTTTTTTGTTTTTTCCCCAAAGATGCAGTATCGTTGGTATTGTGTGTTGTGTTTGTGCTACTTTAGCATGAGCACATGTATTGACAAGACCGCAGCCATTGTGAACTACTTTATTACAAAAGATATTCATGCGCGATGTAATAGTAACAGATAAACCAAACATAGACAGATATAATAATTCCGGATACAACATTTTCTCCCCTTTTAGATTGATGTACATAATTGTAGATTATGATTAATAAAAGTTAACTGTCTATTCTTATTCATAGTTAAGTGTCACAGATTGAATTCACTAGGTCCAGGTATGTTCACAAGCAATTTTATAAGATCAACACACTTATCTGAGGTGCATGCATTACAATCTATAATGTAAATAAAATATTACATGCATATAATAATGAACACATTACATGACTAGAAATAAACAAAAAAAATTTGACTAGAAATTACAGAACACAATATGAAGTTGTACAGGGGATTATTGTGCCCCTTTTACACAGTACAACTGTCCTACATAACTAAACACACACTCGAATTAGGTTTTGGTCTTGGTAGAAGAACCATGGTATACAAAATCTTCCATGATTTTCGGTTTCCGGTTACGTATTGGGTAACGTTTCTCTGGCAATACAGCTGTAGGTTTTGATGGTGTGTGTACAGTTTTGGGCGATTTCGAAATTTCAAGTTCTTTCGGTTTTGACACATGGAAATCCTGAGCAGCAGATGAAACATCATGGTCAATATTGGTAGAACCTGAGGTGTTTGACTCTGGAATCTCAATGTTCGGTTTTGTCATCGGAACTTGCGATTCCACAATCTGGTCAGCGTGTCTTCTCCACTGAGTTGTCGGATCAACTTGAACACGATACGACACTGGTCCAGTTCTCTGTGCGATTGTTCCTGCGATCCATTTGTCCTTTCCTCGATAATCACGTATCATCACCGATTTTCCAAGCTCAAACTCCCTATCATGTGTACGTCTCTGTGCACACATATTTTCTTGTTTCTGCTTGACATGCGATTCCACGTTCGGTCTGAGCAGATCCATTTTTGTTCTCAACTCCCTTCCCATCATAAGTTTCGCTGGAGTTTCATTGGTAGTACAATGTGGAGTACTTCGGTAAGCTAATAAGAAGTTTGCTAGTTTCTTCTTTATACCACCTGACTCGTTTCTGCTACATTTCATTGCTTGTTTGAATGTCTGTACGAAACGCTCGGCTAACCCGTTGCTAGATGGGTGGTAAGGGGTAGTTTTGATGTGTTTGATTCCATTAGCACTCAAGAAGTCTTCAAATTCCCTTGAAGTAAATTGTGGACCATTATCACTGACAATAGTAGCAGGTAGACCATTTCTGGAAAATACGGTCCTAAGAACATCGATAGTGTGCGCTGATGTAGTAGTAGTCATTTTGACCACCTCTGGCCACTTTGAGTGAGAATCCACCATTATCAAGAACATGGCTCCCAGGAAAGGTCCAGCGAAATCTATGTGAACTCTCTCCCATGCTTTTGTTGGCCATTCCCATGCATTCAGTGGTGCTCCCTTAGGCGCGTTCTGATTCTGTTGACATCCCTGACACCTTTTAGCCACTATCTCTATGTCCTGGTCAATTCCTGGCCACCAACAGAAACTTCTGGCAAGTGTCTTCATCTTAACGACTCCCAGATGTCCTTCGTGAATCTGAGATAACACTTGGTCTCTGAGTTTAGTAGGTATAATCACCCGTACACCCCACATGACACATCCGTGATATATTGACAGCTCGTTCCGACGTGAATAATATGGCGCTAATCCACCATCTTTGTCTGTTGAAGTCCAGTCACTGTTTACACATGACATCACACGTCCTAGAACTGCATCCTTGCGCGTTTCCTGTTGAACATCTTTAACGGACACCGGTAAACACTCAATCTGTCCAAGATGGAAGGCATTAACCAGGTCGATGGTAATATCGGACTCCTTGCTTTTCAATGGTAGACGTGACATTGAATCAGCATTAGCGTGTTTTGTTGTCTTGCGGAATCCAATCTCATAATCATAGGCAGACAAGAAAAGGGAATATCTTTGTAGTCTCGATGAAGCAGTTACTGGAACGCCTTTCTGAGGACTAAAGATGTGTATCAGAGGCTGATGATCTGTGATCAACTTGAATCTTCTGCCAAACAGGTAAGAATGGAATTTCTTAATTCCCCATATGATTCCCAAGGCTTCTTTATCAATTTGGGAGTAATTTTTCTCTGCTGGTGCTAGAGTACGTGAGGCGAATGCGATTGGTCTCTCGGTACCATCAGGTAGCTCATGAGAAATAACAGCACCAAGTCCATAGGGTGATGCATCACATGCTAGAGAAATGGGTAAATCTGGATTGTAGTGTGTCAACACCAAGTCTGAAGCTACCAAGTCCTTCACTTTGTTGAATGACTCCTCACAGGCCTCAGTCCATTCCCAACGACTATCTTTCTGCAGTAACTTGTGTAAGGGTCTAAGTACGGTTGCCAAGTCAGGTAAGAATTTACCATAATAATTCACCAAACCTAAGAATGATCTTAGCTGGGAAACATTGGTTGGTGCAGGTGCCTTCACTATAGCATCAATCTTCTCTGGTGTCTTGTGTAGACCGTGTCGGTCAATCGTGTGTCCACAAAATGTTATATTCTCTTTGAAGAATTCACATTTTTTTAAGTTTGCACGCAAACCATACTGACTTAGTCTTTTCAAAACCATGTCCAAATTTCTGAGGTGTTCCTCGTCAGTCTTTCCTGTGATGACCATATCATCTAAAATACACTGGGTCCCTGGAACGCCCTGTAAGACTTGCTCAATTGTCCTCTGCCAAATAGCTGGTGCAGACGCAATTCCAAAGGCCATCCTATTATAGCGGTACAATCCCTTGTGTGTGCTTATGGTCAGTAGTTCTTTGCATGCTTCATCCACAGGAAGTTGCAAGTATGCTTGTTTCAAGTCGATCTTGGAGAAATGTGTTCCTCCGTTCATATTCGCAAAAATATCGTCTATTCTGGGTAGTGGATATTGATCGACGTTAAGTAGCGGGTTCAGAGTGACCTTGAAATCTCCACAAATTCTTACACTTCCGTTTTTCTTCAAGACAGGTACGATTGGAGTTGCCCAGTCACTATGTTGGACTTTGGTAAGTGTTCCCTCTGCTTCCAGTCTGTCAAGTTCTTCCTCAACTTTTGTTCTTAAGGAAAATGGCACTGTCCTTGCCTTGACATATTTGGGCTTGTTTTCCTTGAGTGACAGCTTGGCTGTGATACCTTTGACAGTTCCCACATCATCACTAAACACATCCTTGTATTTCTCCAAAATTTCACTAATGTTTGGTGATTTTACAGTGTTTACGGCATGTGTCTCTTTGATCACTTTCCAGTCAAGTTGAATTTTCTTCAACCAATCTCTGCCGAGAAGCGCTGGTCCTCCTTTACGAACAATATACAAGGGTAATGTCTGTTTCGTGTCACCATATTCAACTAGCACATCTATATAACCCACGGGCTTGATGTGTTCTCCAGAATATGTGCGTAGCGTGATGTCCGGGGTTTTCAAATTTGGTTTTCCAAACTTTTCTCGGAACTCCCCCTCCGCCATGACTGACACAGCAGAACCAGTATCAAGTTCCATCTTCATCGTCTTTCCGTTTATTTTCAGCTGGATCCAGATAATATCCTTACTTGCCAAATTGTTAAGTTCCAGACTGGCTATGTAATTGTCATCACTGGGATCCTGAGAATCATCAGCTACAAAATTTACAGTTTTCTTCCTTTGAATGGGTTTCCTAGGGGTTGTAGGTTTTGAGCGGCATGCTTTTTGAATATGTCCACGTTTATGACAGTTATGACACACCGTATCTTTGAAACGACAGTCCTGTGCAACATGCCCATTGCCATTACATCTATAGCACTGCTTCCTGTCTTTCTTATCACTCGGTTTTGAATGTCTGTTTTTCACATGCAATCTGTTCACGGCCCCTGTCTCTGTCCTGTTTTTACTCTGTAATTCTGTGGCGTCTTTAGCTGCGGCTTCCATTGCGAGACTTATCTCAACCGCCTTTTCATGTGATAGATCTTTTTCTGACAGCAATCGTCTCTGAATTTGTGTATTTCTTACACCACACACTATTCTGTCTCTCAGCTTTTCATTTAATGACGCATTAAAGTCACAATGTATGGATAATTTCTTTAATTGCGCTACATATTCTGTGATAGTTTCCCCCTCTTTCTGGTCTCTTTTATCGAAGCGAAAGCGCTCTGCCGTTTTAATGGGTTTAGGAGACAAATGGTTATTCAGTAGTCTTACCAGTTCTTGGTATGTTTTCGTGGCTGGCTTGTCGGGGAATGTCAGGTCACGAAGCAGGGAATACAGTTTTCCACCAATTAGACACAATAACGAAGAGACCTTCTTCCCAGGGTCAATCTCGTTGACCTCGAAATATTGTTCAAAACGTTCAACATAGGACTCCCAGGACTCGATTGTCTCGTCAAATGGTTCTATTTTTCCGATCAATCCAAATGAAGCCATCTTGCGAATTAACACCACAGATCCAAACGGGCGGGTTATAATATCAGACAAGAACGCTTTAAAAAGTTTACCTCGTCGCCAATTTGTTGTGTTTGTGCTACTTTAGCATGAGCACATGTATTGACAAGACCGCAGCCATTGTGAACTACTTTATTACAAAAGATATTCATGCGCGATGTAATAGTAACAGATAAACCAAACATAGACAGATATAATAATTCCGGATACAACATTGTGAGAGTCCCATTAGTCAGTGTATGTACATGCAAGGAGGGTGGATGAAAAGTAAAATAGGAGCCATCATGGATTTCTTTGAAAATCATCCAGGATATTACCTGGAGAATGTGTGGTTGGAAAATAGAATGAAAATTCCCAATCCTCTAACAGGATCTAGAGTGAGGGTGAAAATCAACCAACATTATCAGCAATTCAAATGGGTTACTTGTACTCAAAGGAATCGACTGACACCCATCAACACCATTCAGAATGAAAGTTCATGGTACTCGGACATTGGAGATTGTCTGAAATATTATTTCAAGATGGAGAAAAAAGGACTGACGTTTCCACCTCATTATTGTCCTACAGAGTACTTGTATTGTCGCATCCCCTTTTCCCAGATTAAAGACTCGGTGGAAAAGAAAGGACATTTGTTGACTCGAGTGATTGAGGACCGATCATCAGAAGACGAAGAAGAAGAAATAGATGTGTAAATTTTTGAATAAATTTTTTGAATTTTTAAAAAAAGTGTTGTTATAAATACAAAGGTCTTAAGGTCTAGAGTCTCAGTCTTAGATTGAACATGGCCGAGAGCAGTGGGTTTTACATGACTTTACCCAGTGATGGGTCTATGACCT